AAACCATTCTGTGATTCTATGATTTAATGGAGAAAGACCTCAGGAAATTTTATTCTGAAATTGGGTCTAACACACATGCTAATTATATGACATTTTTCCCCGAGAGGTTTGGGACATCAATTCATCTCACCTGCAATGTGTAGGCCTTACGAAGCCCTGCCTCTTACACAGCTTACCTGTGACTGCAAGGCGAGCATCTGTTTCTCCAAGTTCTTTCTGGCCTCCTCTTCCTCTTCCTGCTGCTCTTGCAGGTTGTTCTTCTCCTCCTCCAGCTGCCTAATCCTACTGCTCAGGTTGAGTTTCTGGCGTGTTTCTTCCTGAAGCAGCTCCTGTTCCAAACAGGCACATTCAAAGTTCAGTTTGGTTCATAGTGTGTTAGCTGTGGCCTTGGACTACCACCTTCTATTATTCTAGATGGAGTTTCAGGTTTGATTATTTCTCTCACAGCATTTTTGTACAAGGATATGCTTATGAAGATATCTGTAATGTGCGTTTTCAAAAAGGCACTACTCATTCATTTTGGACACACTTAAACCTTTATAAAGCTATTTCTAATCAGGGAATCCATGCCACTGCCTGTTCTAGAAGTTATTGGATGATACTTTTCTGTCTTTAAAGCAACACGACAGAAGTCACCTTCAAAATTTATTTTTCTTTCAGACAAGCATATAGTGTCCCTATTTTAAGCCACCTGGGAAGAATATACAGCACCAAATCCTGCAATGGCAGCATGCTTCCAAGTTTTGCTGCATTGCTTGAATATAAAGGTCAGTTTAAAGATAGCTGTCATTTGGCAGTGGAAACTTTTGTCATAATGGAAACTACTAAGAGGTGTAACCACCATCTCCCCTCTCCCATCCTGTTCCTCACGGGCCTCCAGTTGTGATTAACATTATTCAAGTAGTCACCATCAGCATTTTTATACAGGGGGGAAAAAGAGTATATTTAAGTGATGAATACATGCATAAAGCTGCGTTATTTAACTCAAAAACAAAAGACTGACAGTTTTAAGAAGTGAAGCTGTCAGTAAAAGGCAGGGTATTGTCCCTCATACCTTTCATATATGCCAAGAATCTTATTTACATTAACATTCTACTTGGAAAGGTTTTTTTTGACTTAATACTTATCTCCCACAGAGATTAAGAAATAAAAGAAAAATTGGAAGGCTACAGCTTATCAAATAGTGAATCTTAGATAATGAAAACATGGCTCCACATGCAGCTGAGCAGTCATTATAGATCGCATTCCACTAGAATTCAGTAGGAAATTCAGCTTCTGCCCAAGGGACTTTCCAAACCATGAATGAAAATGTATTTTCTGTTACACAGTCAGCATTTCAATGAGGAACAAAGCTTCAGTGCAAAGTTCAAGCTTCACTGCACACACACCTGTGTATCCTGAAGCTGAGATTCCAAACTAGCTGCATCCTTGGCAAACTTAATGCCTTTCTTCTCTGCTTCCTCCAGGAGACTCGAGACATTATCCAACTCGTTCTGCAAAGCAAGCGGTCTAAAGGTAACAGCACGCAGCTGACTCATGACAAAGCCTACATCCCACCGGGGGCTGGAACCGCAGAACGCAAAACCTCAACAAATTCCAGGTATGGCAAGACAACAGTAGATCCCAGTACAGAGATATAAGCTAAAAATACTGAAGTTTGGCTAGAAACTTGAAGTTGAATGTCAATCTTGAACTTATACCCTTAAGATAACAAGAGTTAGGTATGCTATTTTGCAAAGCATGTCATTCCAATATCTGCATTTGTACTTAAATGCTATTTTTAATTACAGGACCATATATTTTACAGGACTGTTCATTCAGGGATTATCAGGATAGCAGTTGGGTTTAAAGCATCACTGCAAGAGAAAAGGTTACTGCCAGGTCGTGCTGGTTTAGCTTATGCTGCTTGTAAATACAGTGAGAGGCCACCTGAAAGCTTCCCCTAAAAAGAACTGGGCCGTTCCCTTTTTGAAGCACTTTAGCTTGATTTACCTAAAGTACTCATTGCTGTGGTTTAAAAGCCAGCTCTGACTGCATTTTGTCCGTTTTCTCTTTTCCTAGAAGAACAGACCTTTACTTGCAATCCCTATCTGTCAAGCTCCCAGCTTTGAAGCACAAAAGGAAACGTGTGGCCATCATCAATCAGTACATTTTTGCTCACACCTACAAATGAGCTCAGTCCAATCTACTCAATTCCATACCCAAGCCAAAAACCTGTAGACCAGCTGTTAGCAGAGCCTCCTACGGGATTTGGTCTCCAGGATAGGAAGCCATGTACTTAGAAGCCACTGTAATTCTCATAGACCAAAAAATTCAGGATTAATGTCACAGCTGTCCAGCTGTCTCCACCTGAGGCATGTCACCACTTCAAGGCCCCTCAAGTACATGAGTGCATGACTGAGATCACCTCCCACATCAACTCCAGACTTAGCTCCATCTTTGAAAGTAATTTCTTCTAGCCATTTCTGCATATGGTTAAGACTTCCTTTCTTGTGCATTTTTCGGCAGTTTAGAACTTCCATAGAGACTTACCTGCAGCTTGTTAGCTTTCTCTGCCAGTTCCACCCGCAGTCTTTCTCCTTCTGTGACCTTAGCAGTTAGCTCTTGTACCTGAGCATCAAGCTTCTTCCTCTTATGTTCAGATTCTGCCTTGACCTGCTGCAGTACCTTCACTTCACAGGCTAACTCCTTGTTGTCCGACTCTAGGCCTTGCTTGTTTTTTTCAAGATTTGCTTTGAACTAGGAAAAAAAAAAAAGGAAAGAAATTCAACACTTTGTTACATATCAGTAAGGTTTTCTGCTAAAAGTATTCAGTCCAGCAAATCAGGTTTACAAGTTCAAAGATAAAACAAGTGCTCAGCAAGTTGTAAGTAGGAAGTGTTTAAAATGCTGCCATGTAACATTCTGTGTATGTTAGGCAAAGACTAAAGTTAATGTAAGTTACTCCACTCTCAGATATCACAGGTAATGGAGAGGACCAGAAGATACTTCTATGAATTCAGCAAGATCTGGGATTTTAGTGCTGTAAAATGACTGAGTAGCACTGTAAGTAGGAAAGAATGTGCCCATTAACAGATCAGCATGGCTCATCTCACAGAAATAAAAGGAAAGATATCAACTAAAGCTGCCCTAATTTTAGTAGGCGTAGCAGCCTGGAAGTGCATAACAAAGCACTTTTCACCACTGCACTGACATTTGTCAAAAACCTTTTTAAAAAAGTAATAATTGGCATAAGGGATGTTTAAGCGCCATTCTTACTATATCACCAGAACTGACATCATCTGATTACAGGACCTTTGTTTAAGATTGCAGGGTATTTTTCCATCTTTTCATGCTCTTCTTGAGAATAGTTAATGAATAAGGAGCAGAAGACGTGCATAAGATCTTCAGGTGAATAAAACTGTAATTTCCACCAGCTTTAACTACTATGTTTCTCACTTACTGTTTTTACCTAAGGAATCTTGTGAAGTATTCTGCACATACAAATATATTATTACAGTATATGAACTGTCCACACATACATTTGTGAATGACCAGAACTATAATTTCTCAAACTAAAGATAACTTTTTTTTCTAGCAGCATTGGCATAATTCTACTTTTCAAGATGACACTCAAGCTACACTAGTAGGAAGCATGCTATCCAGATATGCCTCCTCCTGCCTGCTCTGGAGAGAACACAATACGGCTGCGCAAATTGCCAACGTACGCCACAGATACCTGGCTCTGGAGGTCACAGTACATCCGTGAAGTTAGAGTGGCTAGAAGAACTTTTACACTATCTGTACTCACAGTTCGTTATTTGTGAGGGCCGATATTACAATTACCTTATTTGAAAGCATTCTGCAGTTCGCTCATGCATAGAGCTGCTTTTCACCAAACACACACATGGCCTGCTGGAGAATTCCCACACAAGTACTACATGAATTTATCTCTAGGTGCACCCTTTCCAAGTCTAATGAACATTTTTCAGACAGAGGCCAAGACTGTCTAATAGTTGCAATGCAGTCAAACCAGCAGGATATACTTGACTGAATTGCAATTGTTACGCATGTATAGAGGACAATTTAGATCTGCAGGTATGGGTGGAAGGGACCACACCACTTATGTTTTTATGCTTCAGGACTTTTTATAAGTAACATATTTCTGTAATCCATTTTTTTTCCTCACCCTTTTGGCCTGTTCAAGTTGTTCAGAAAGCTCTTCCAGGGCAGTAGCATGCCTCTGCCTGATTTCCTGGATCTGTGCTTCATGGTTTTTGGTTTCCTCTTCAATTGCTTTCTTCAGTTCAGCCACCTCCTGCTCTCGCTTTGTCCTAGAGGAAGCGGCAAAGGTTATCAAAAAATCAACATTTTAGTCTTTTGTAAATTAAAGACGAATTTTAAAGGTGCCTTCTTACACAGACACATGATCCTACCTCAGCTCTTGCTGCGCTGCAGTGGTATCCAAAGTATCTTCAAGTTCAGTTTTCAAAGCCTCCAACTCTTCACTTAAATCTCTTTTCTGCTTTTCTGCCTTGTTGCGTGATGCCTTCTCAGATTCAAGATCCTCCTGGAGTTCTGCGATTTGAGCCTGCAACTCTCTTATCACTTTCAGTGCATTGTTTTTCTGAACTGCTTCTTCATCACCTCTGTTAAACAGAGGCACAACAGTTAATGATAATTCATAGCTTCAGATCTATTCTCGTAACAGTCTAGTGTTATTTAAATTATGTGCACAAATGATAACTCAACTTTCCCACTAGAATAAAATACACCTTCTAAAACTTCATAGATAGAAACCCACTACTGCACTGCTGTTCTCAAGATCCTAAGAAGCAGTGTCCCAGGTACTACAGATGCAATACTAGAATGATCAAGCTTTCAAGTTTACTTCCAAGTATTGCAGTTTTGTAGATCTCACTGTTCCAAAAATACACCCTGTCTATAGAATTCTCTCTTCCTGCAAATTATGGATCATTACTCAAAAAATACTAGTGTTTAGTTTATAACACGGGGATGCAAGACTACCACACAAATCTTTCAGTGATTGAGTAGCACATACGTTATCAAATACTTTGACCTTTAAGAAGGCATGCTCAGAATTACATGTTTTTTCCCTCCTGAGGATGAACACTGGGAGACTAAAAAAGCTTCCAGAGCCCAAATGCTGTTATACTGCAGTGAAACATTATTTTTGGATCTTGTAGAGCAAGGATGCTGATAAATTACTGAATTCCTTTTTTTGCCATGCCTACGCACAACATGCAGGTTTCTAGAGATGCTCTAGTACAAACATCAACTGGCTTCTGCTTTAACGTTCCCAGGTCTGAGAAGTTTGCAGTCAGCTGAAATTCTGTTTGGGAAGGTAGGTTTCTACCATGCTTCTGTAGTCATAAGCCCCATCATGCTCTCACCTAGCAAGAGCAGCCTGCAGTTCTTCCTCTTTCTTGGCCAGCTGGATCTTCAGTTCTTCAATCTGGGCTTGCAGCTCAGCTATTTGGTCCTGTAGGTCTGTTGTCTCACCATCAAGTTTTCTTTTAGCTTTTTCTAATTCTTGACGGGTCTTCTCCTCCTTTTTCAAACGCTCTAAGGAAGCAAAGAATTCTATTTATAAGCAATTTTTTCTCTTGTCATCCTCAGAAGGTTCAGGAGCAGGGCAATGAGGTGGCAAGAAAGGTAGGAAGTTTAAAATATGCTGTGTCAACTCTTTCTGACAAAACAGCAAAGTAGAAACTCAATTTAGATAGAAAGTCAAGAAAAAGTTAATGACTGGAGAAAAAAAAAGTTTGAAGTAAGGGAACAGAAACATAACCTCATCTTGATAGAAAATAAGGAATGGGCTCTAACAGAAGGGCAGTTTGAGCTGCTAGGCCAGGTGATCACAGACATCAGGATTAAAAAATGAAGAACAACTACGGACTGGAAAAAATGATAGCTTGCATAGCTTTGGAAGGGCTAGGCTAGGTTCCAGAAGGTCTACTGGAAAATAGTATAGCTTAAAGAAAACTTGGATAAACCATTTTTGCAAGTATCTGTGCCACTAACTCACATCCCATTAATACTTAGCAAGACCCTGCAACCCTGATAGCTTGCAGTACTTTATTTAAGTTGCCAAGATACTCCTGCCCTAAGGTATTTCTTTGTGAAAATCATCCAGTTATCAGTGCCATAACAATAAAATACATTTAGGTGATCTGCCTGTTGTCTGATTAAGATAGTTCCTGGTTGCATTGCTTACAGTTAGCTAATGACCATGTATGTGATATATTTAAGTCTCAGGAAGGTTTTGCTTAGCATAGCATTAGCACAATTCTAAATGTATTAGCATAAATGTAAGTTATTAGACTTGTTCAATACTTTGCAGGTCCTCAGTGCAGAGATTTCTCTCACACCCTTCCTACACCTACTATGGGATCAGGACATCATCTTCTACATGGAAAGGGAGCCGATTTCAAGAAGCATCTCTTAGTGCCACCCAGGACTATCTGGGATTTTCCAGACAACCTGAAGTCACACTTTTTTCTCTAGCCAGTTCCTCATTCAAAAAATAGCACTTTCCCCTCTGTTTTTATAATATATTTCTGGTGAGTGACAGTTAGAACAGTGTCATAAGACCCAATTTTGTAATTGAGAAAGTTCATAGTAAACTGAATTAAGATTTCCCCCCCCCCAAATTTCAGTGCCTAGCAGTGCCAAGACCCTAGCTGAGACACCTTAACAGCTTCTTGAATCATCTCCAAGAGTAAATATCATTTTACTGTGTTTACTAGCCAAGAAATTACATGCTTTATATTTAAGCTTTAATTTCCATTTCTAAGGTCATCAGTCTTGGAATGGTACCATAACCAAACACATCTGTCAAGTATCTTCAGAAATACTAGCCTTGATTTAAGCACACAACTACTCAAGCATTATTTTCTAGGGAGTAAAGCTTACTTATCTTAAGGTCTCTGAACATGATTTTTAAAGAAAAGGTACATTGATCACCTACTATCCCTATTAGTTCGATACCTTCCTATACAGACAAGATTCACTTTTGGTATTCTTCCATAAGCACATCAGTTTAAAAATATGTAGCAAGACAGGTCATAACACAGTAAGTGATAAAACTGTTTCCAAATTAGGTCACAGAGAGAAACTTTGCCTTATATTTTGCAACTTTGACTTGGCAGTTTAATAATGTTACACAATAGCTATTTACGGCCATAAGTAATTTAAAAAACAAACCATAAAATCCACAAAGGTTACATATAGGGCTAGCTGTTTTGCCTGTGCTGTCACAGGCTCAACAATCAGAAATAAATGGCCACGGAAATTGAACCATTTTAGATAAACAAAGCATTAAAGCAAAACAATTCAGATTTTCTTATTAAAAAAATATTAGAAGCCTAACGAATGCCTACTAACATTCTTCCAGAAATATATTGTTCCAATGTGTTATTATAGAAAAGTGTAGGAACCTCTCGAGAGACCTCCCGAGTTTTACCTTGTTACTAAGGGATGCGTGCAACAACATGAATTTCTGAGTGCGTCTGTAAATGTAATGGATTCTCAAAAATGAAAAACTAACAAGTCAAACATGAGAAAGACTGAGCAGCCAAATACAAAAAGCTTTGCAAGCAACACAAATTTCTTTCAAGATTTAGATAAAAATAACAGCTCTTAAGGCATCGACATATAAGGCTACACTTAGCAGATTGGACCAGATACTGCACACATTGTAGTGACCGATCCATTCCTTTTAGTATGATGTCAAGAGCTGTTAAAAGGCAAAGGTAGTAAGAACAAACCTTCCAAATCGGTGATCATCATTTCCTGCTTGTTCTTGAGTTTGGCCAAGTTTTTGGCCTTTTCCTCTTCTTCAGCCAGCTGAGAAGTACATTCAGCAATTCGATCCTCCATCAGCTTCTTCTCCTAGTTAGGAGAGGGGAGAAAGAATAACTTTTAAAACGCAGTTTGAAGAGTCTAAGCAGCACAAATAACTGAATATACAAAATCCATAGAGAGGTCTCATACAGCATATATAATACAGATTTTATTTCAAATGACTGACCTGTCAGTATTCATCAGAACATTTGTTTTCTAAGAAAGCAAGACTTGGAATTTAACACACTGAAGGCCTGGGTTTAGGACAGCATTTGCTATGCACTTTTGGAAATCCGTTTGCAAAGAGCAACAGTAGGTATCTAAGCTGGAAACAGTGTTTAGCGTAGATTTGGAAGACTCATACAATTGGAAAGAATGTATGGCAAATACCTCCCTTTTAAAGGTCAGTTTGAAAGCTCTAAATGTCTCAGCTTCAACCTGTTCAAACCCCACAAGTCCTCAGGCACAAACTCTATAGATAACATAACAGCAGTCTCAAATGTTTTGAGACCTATGGCTTGGTACTATTATTACTTACATGCAGAATCTCCACTGTGCATACCAGTCTCACCTTCAAAAATTTGGAATTTTGGTCCTCCAACAGTAGGATCTCTTCCTCCATCTTCTTGATCTTAGCTTCAGCTGTCACTTTTTCAAGCTGCAACTTCTGTCGAGCTCCCTCCTCCTCATCGAGCTGTTCCTCCAGGTCCTGGGAAGAAAGGCAATCACATCTGTGCATTTTCCAGGTTACCCACGTGTTGGGTTTTTGTGGGTTTTTTGCAATTTCTTTTTGTTAGATTCATTTATATCAATGATCTGGTAATGAAATTAAGGGCCATGTGATACCCATGGAATTTTTTATACTGTATTTCAGCTTTGGCTGAAATATGCTGCCTAGGAAACATACACTCACTTCAGAGTCTTTCACCTTCTTAATTCTACTTCAGAGTCTTTCACCTTCTTAATTCTGAGCATAAAATAAAATAAAAAAAAAATCTACTTGTGACAACCAAATCAGATCAGGCTTTATGTCAAATACTTCCTAGCATACTGCATCCGTATGGAGCATCTGGTGTAAGAGTGCAAGTGTCAGGGAAGAGACACCACAGGAAACAGACTTCCTGATTTCAGTGTGAATCTGGCTCTCAATATTACAGCTGAAATGGTTCAGATATTGGCATAAATAGCTAGATACAACTAGAAAAGTAATAACGTATTGTGCTTCTATTCATTCACAGTTTTAAATCAGATACTCACTCAGCCATGCATTAATGGACATTTAATAAAAGGCATCAAGAGCTCCAAGATGTAGGGTTTATTTCCCCTTCAAGTACCTTGAATATTTTGAAAGACAGCTAAGTTCTCAAGTATTCCCTTTTTCAAGGTCTCTGTGTATTCAAAAGGAAGCATCTAAATCATCTGATTTTCACAAAAAAAAACCCAAGTAACTTGGGGAAGATGAAGTTGTCTTAGTTTCAAAAAAGTCAAAGGAGAAATATTCTTCATGATATTCACTGGATTTCAGTCAAAAAGGAACATTTCTCTTGTGAGTGACATCATCCCACCAGGCTTTGTTTCTATAAGAAAGCAGGTAAGCCCCATGCAGTCGTTCCCAGTTCCTCCCCCTTCAAAAGTGCTCGCTAGCTTTAACACTCCTCCTGCCCACACTGTAGCTACCCACAGGGCACTGACTTTCCCTTTCCTCACCTTCCTATGCCTGGAGACCACAAGCAGCTAAACATGCTGAAGACAGGAAGAGAAAAGAAAAAAAAATTCAAATTGATTCTATTCCACACATGGTGCTAAGGAGCTAAATTCCTCTGTGCCACACAGATGCTGAGGGAGCTTTCCCATCCCCAACTGTCCTGTTCACATGCTTTTCCAGTTACCAAGAGGCATACCTGAATGTGGCCCTGCATTTTCTTTTTCTCATTCTGCAATATTTGGTTTCTTTCCTCTTCTTCCTCAACCCTGGACTCCAAATCATGGAGAATTTCTTCCAACTCTTGTTTTTTGGCAGCCAAGCGAGCCCTCATCTCCTCAGCTTCTGCAAAGAGCTCCGTCTCAGCCTGTAGCTGCTCTGCAAGAATGTTCTTCTCTTCTAGAAGCTGCAAATATACGCAAAAGTTAGTAAGGCAGTAAAAACGTTTCAAAGTCTCTCATGAGAGATTATATGTATGACTACTACAAAGTTACTTAAAGGCCAAGTTCTGCTCCAACTCTTGACCAAAGACTTTTAGCAGAGGGCTTGATCAGCAGTCCAGAAGACCCCAGCTTTCGTAACAGGGCTACTCCAACATTCACTCCCTTGTTCCCCCTAGCTGAAGGGGGAGATCCCACTCGCCTACCCCACGTGCCCTGCTCTACCAGCAGCAAAACGACGAGGGACATGCCCGTTTCCTGGGCTGTTCCTCGCACTCATCCCTGCGCAGCAGCAGAGCAGTGCCATGGGTAGCTGGGCTGAAGCTGGCGCTCGGAGTCACCACAGAGCAGAACTGAAACACATTACTTCTTGCTGTGTAAACGCAAAAATAGAACAGAATAGTCCCAGTTGGGGGGGACCTACAACAATAATCTAGTGCCTGACCACTTCAGGGTTGACCAAAGCTTAAAGCATGTTATTAAGGGCATGGTCCAAATGCCTTTTAAACACTGACAGGGTGAGGCATTGACCACCTCTCTAGGAAGCCTGTTCCAGTGTTTGACCACTCCTTGGTAAAGAAATGCTTCCTAATATCTAGTCTGAACCTCCCCTGGTGCAGCTTTGAACCATTTCCAGGTGTCCTGACCCTGGATCCCAGGGAGAAGAGCTTAGCACCTCCCTCTCCACGTCCTGTCCTCAGGGAGTTGCAAAGCACGATGAGATTGCCCTTTCAGCCCCCTTCTCTCCAAAGGAGACAAGTGCGAAGTCCTCAGCTGCTCCTCACAGGTCATGCCTTCCCGTTCTTTCATTAAGAGGAATTGATGCTCTGCCATTCTAGATATCCATCCCAGTTCTATCATGTCTCAAAATTACCATAACGATAAATACATGTCTATGGAGACAGGCTGAGAGAGTTGGGGTTGTTCAGCCTGCAGAAGAGAAGGCTCCAGGGAGACCTTACAACACCTTCCACTCCCTAAAGGGGCTACAGGAAAGCTGAAGAGGGGCTGTTTACAAAGAGATGTAGTGACAGGACAAGGGGAATGGCCTTAAGCTGAAGGAGGGGAGATTGAGATGAATCTGAGGAAGAAATTCTTCCCTGTGAGGGTGGTGAGGCCCTGGCACAGGTTGCCCAGAGAAGCTCTGGCTACCCCTGGCTCCCTGGCAGTGTTCAAGGCCAGGCTGGATGGGGCTTTGGCCAACCTGGGCTAGTGGAGGGTGTCCCTGCCCATGGCAGGGGGGGGGGAGATAGATGGGCTTTAAGGTCCCTTCCAACCCAAATCATTCTAGCATTCTCTGATCTTTACTGACACTCTCTCAGCTGTTCTTTAAATTGATAACACTATTACTTATCAGCACAAATTCATTTTTCAGTTTCATGCAATAATTGTCATAATCACTTCCTGTGCCTTAAACAGCACCTGTACCCCATGCAAGCATCCTACCCTGAAAACACATCTGAAAAGAGAAATGACATTGCTACTGAAATTCTCCTGTAAACTGGTAAAGGCCAAAAAAACCTGTTTAGTTTCATTAACATGATGTTTCTGCATTCCTGGAGGAATGGCTCATACTCTATCTTCCTATTCCAGAGTTTAGTCGAGCATGAAAGGAGTTAGCTCTCCTGACTCACAGTGCTTTTGCTCACAAGCGTCTCCCCAGCACGGCTCCCTCACACACAATATAGTGCGATGTACATTCTATGTATCAAAAGCCAGTCTTGGACACAAACCTGTTGATGTTTCCTTTCCATTTCCTCAAGTTCTGCCTCCACTTTAGTCTGTTTTTCTTTCACCTTCATTAGCTCCTCATCCTTGGCTTGAAGTTCTTCTTCTTGACGAGTGACCTGAAGAAGAGGCTTCACCTGCAAAGATTTGAAATGAACAAGTAAGAACCTGCATCCACCTATTTACAAAAGTCAAAGTGGCAGAATATAACAAACCTTTGTGAAGACTCTCCACCACTGCCAGTGCCTAAGCTTTAAATATGCAGCGCAATTTCTCTGCAGGATTTTCAGTGCACTCAGTTGCTGTTGTTTCTTTGCAAAGGCCCTGAAGTCAGAAAGAGCAAAATATTTTATGTTAAATACAGCTGAGCATCTCACCATGGTCTTAATTTTTAGGTTACACAACCCTAAAACACTAGCAGACCATAAATAGGCTTATTTTTACATTCCAGTGACTACACTGATTTATGTGTATTCATTCCTGATATGCAGGAGCAGAGCAAGAGCTGGATGCACCATTTTCAAAACAATAATTACAAGTGCTATTTGTTCTTACTCTTAACAGACATTTTTCTTCAAAAGATAAAATCAGGATGGATTAGACACTGAACTGTCCTTTAATTTCAAAAAAGCAGCTTTCCAGAGTAACTTTAAGAACTTCCAGTGGAGCAGAAAGAGAGACTTTTTTGCAGCCACTAGCTGTACTGTAAACAGCTGCATGTGTCGCAAAGGGAAGATTAAGGAAAGGAGATATTGCTATGGAACAAAGGTACAAATTTTTTTATTAGGTAAACATTCATCTGTTTTAATGCCTATCACAGAGACTTAAGATGTCCACAAGAAAAATCAAACCACAAAAGTACGCATACTTCCTGGCCAGGTATCCTCTACAGACTGCCTGGAAGAAGATGATGATGTCTGTGATCTTCAGATCTCGTTCTTCTTCTAAGTGTGCCAAGACACCAGCTCGGAAAAAGATCTTGCTCTGTCCAATTCGGTATAAGTTGGGGTCCAGCTCTAACGCTCTGATCTAAATGGACAGGCAAGCACATTGTTTTTTACATTGAGGAAAGGACAACTTTTGTTTCAACTTTTCAGTGTTTTAACAATATATAGGTATTAACACTTACCATACGCTCACAGGCTTGCTTACCATCCATAAAACCTTTTGGAATTGCATTGGGAGTAAGGATCTCATACCTTCAAGTCAAATGAAAAAACACCTTTATACTCAACAAGCAGCTACATTATTATAAACCCATAAAGCTACAGCCATCAAGTGCATGGCTAAGAAATTTCAAGAAAGTTTTTCTAGAAGTCTATTTTAGATTGGTTTCCCCTTCCCCGGTGTCTTTATAATAAACATGTAGTATTTAAGTGCTTCATGTTCAAGCCACTTCAAGACCTCACAAATGGCTTTGGACTTTCTTCCAGTTGGGTTGGGGGGAGCATCTACAATTATTTAACATGGAATTTCATCTTATAAAAACTCAAAAGATTGGTCCCCCTGTTACCTCTGTCTAAATTCCTGGAACACTATCCTGTTTGGAAAACCTTGTCGACAAATCCTTATTCCTTCCAAAACACCGTTGCAGCGAAGCTGATCTAGAACCAGATGTGGATCCAATTTTCCAGCCTAGCCAAACAAAACAAACATGATTTTTTAGTTTTAATATGCATTCATGAAAAACTGTAGTTTAAGTTTTTCAGGCTACCCTCTACAAACTCAACTCTCTAAATAAGGGGATGGGCAGGGATACTGAGAAGATACTCGACCAGTGCAAAAACTTTGCAAAACCTGGCTTCTGATTTCAAAAGGAAGACACAGACAGCGTGCATAACTTAAAATACATGTAAAGACTCTAATAGAGAGAAGGAATTAGAGGAAAGGTCTGTAGTACACACCCTCTTTTCATGATTTGGAATGATGCAGCGAACAAAATTGGGATTAGTGTTTCGGAGCGTTGCCATCAGTTTGGTGAGAGATTCTTTGTACAGTTGGCCAACAGTACGAAACATGCCCTTCTTGGTCTTGTACGCAGAGCCAAAAGCTGTCTCTGTTATTCCAGTGACCTGATCCAGACCCACAATACGATCCACTGGGAAGGACAAGAGAAAATAATTAAGTGGACTTTAACATTTGCCAGGTATAGAGATAGGCAGGAAGAGGAGCAACAGTGCAGCAGCAGAAGCTTTGTGGAACAAATGACAGAAGATGCCATCAGTAGGCAAGGCAGTCAGCATGTACCAGGGACGCTGTGCAGAAGCAGTGGAACCAAAAGCCACAAACTTATACAGCAGAATAGTGTAGCTTTAGTAGGTACAGACTAAAATATCCAGCTCTTTACTTGCAGTTCTACATGACCAGTAAAGCCATTTTCTTTAAGTCAACTTTAAAGAGATAGAAAGTTGCCTGGAAACTGCCAATTATTTGAATTCTTACAATGCAAAATATTTCTGGGTTGAATATTTGGAATTAGACATCTGTGCATATTTGCTTAAAATGAAGAGTCACTTACAGTAATTATATAGATTAAATCTGAGTTTCATTGAATATTCAAAAGTGTTTTGAAAGCATAACTATTTACAGAACAGTTGGAAACAGTGTTACTTCAGTGACAAGAGGGAAAAAAGCATCTGCCAGACTTTTGCTAGTCTGGTATTTTGAAGAATTCTTCCAAAGTTTTATATACAACTGCAATGATCTCCCTAGCCAAAAGACAAATTTCAAAACAGGAAGACTGCACACCAAAGCACTTCAGAGCTGCCATAAAGCATCAGAATAGAGATTTTTTTTCTTTGACTATTTTTTTTTTTTTTAACATTTGGGGTAAGGATCTCTATGATTTCTTCTTCAGAAGCACAAATTAGATGTCTGACTGCCATCATTAAAACCTTTAGGCCAAAAACATGACCATGACTCCACGTACACATCAACAATTATTTAAACAGCTCACTAAAAAAAATACACAGGTGGCTTAACATCTTCATAACGGTTGGACTTGATGATCTTAAATATCTTTTCCAACCAAAACAATTCTATGATTCTATGATAATTATAGCTGGCACGTCTTAGCACTGCGCAAACACACAACATGTATTGGGTCTCCATGAAATCCAAGCTGGCCAGCCAGAAACAAGCAACTATATTTTGGCTACAATTTAAATTTCGTGAGATTATCTTCAAATTCGTTCAAAGCAAAGCAGAGGGAATTATGCTTTGCTACCAGCATTAGTTTTATACATGAGAAATACTGGTTTTCAAAGATCTATAAAAACAGGAAAATGAAAAGCATAAAAATACAGGGCAAAAAGTTGAATAATCACTTGTAAGTCTTGCATGTATTATAAAGCAGCGCCCAGATTCTCCACACAGTTCGGAACACAAGAATTTAAGCGGCTTATTAAATTTAGAAGATTAAGTAGGTGGTAAGTTGTTCATAAGATCATATCCCAAATATTTACTTTGAAGCAGAATTCAGTTCTAAACCAGAAATGGGATAGATTGCTGGGCATCAGTCTTACAGAGGATGAACATAACAGCTTGCAAATATTAGAAACGTGCACCCACCAGACACCACTAGTGGAAAATAAACCCGAGTAAAGACCAAAGCCTCAAGGCACAACCTTCACATACACGGATTTCTAAACTTGGGGAGAACAATACAGGAAGGATGAGGAAGAGGTTGGATATGTAAAGCATCTTCAAAAAACTTTCCAAATAAGTGGATTTGTTGATTTCCCAATGCCTCAAAAAAAAAGTGTGCAGCTTCTACAAAGGGAAATATTAAAATTAAGAGGATTTTAAATAAACGAACAATTCCCACAAGTCTGGAGGAAGTTTATTTCACTTACTACCCCCACTACAACTGCAGCACTCATTCCGATACTTCACTACATTCTTCAGTTCTCCTCCCAAAAAAAAACAAACCCCAAACACATTCATGTTCTAAAATGTTCCAGAGTTTTGTCAATGTTGGACTGCAGAAAGAAGCTTGATAATGTTACAAAGCTTATGCATTCTCTCAAATGCTTGGAGCTACCAGAATTATCACTTAAGAAGCAATTCTGCATCTCAACATGGAACTAGGAAGCAACAAACCTTTTTATCTGCAATGCTTAAATGCAATGCATAAAATATAGATGCTATATGTATGCAGCAGCAACTGAATAGGTATGCACTCGGAGACCATTTGCCTTGTGGAGGTATACCTAAGTTTAGCATGAAATGAAAAGTTCATGCAAGCCTACGAGCAAAAATGGTTTTCCTGTAGATACAACAGCCCTGCCTTTAGTAGGCCTACTGGTTTTATATCCATTCACCTGGTGGATCATGAAGACCAGTAATATTGTCATAGAAACAGGCTCTCTGAATATTCTGAATCTCTAAGGCAGAGAAACAGCAAAAACAGAAAGACAGAAGAGCAGATACACAAGACACTTTGGTTAGTATACAGAACAGGTTTATCAATTGCAAACAGACTTAACTGTGCTACAAAAGCAATTAGGCCAAAACATTTTTCATGCACATTTCAATTATCTGTGGAAACAGTTTTTGCATATTTGGACCAAGACACTTTTGCTTCTGTGCGTGTATTCAAAAGGAAAGGAGCAGATCCCCAATCAAAAAGTTCTTTATAGATTCATTAAAACTGCTCTCTGTAGCTGAACCAAGTAAGCATTCCTGAGAATAAGAGGGAAACTCAGTATTAACCTACAGCATCATCTATATCACAAGGTTAATTTCCTCCTGGAATAAGAAACTACATGATTTATATACTATGGCATGTAAATATACTCTAATTAATATATGGTGATGTTAAAAACTAGACTAGAAAAGTCCTTGTAAGTATTTATTTGGCTATTTCTGTTTCGTGGGATATTTTGGTAAAAATGTGGATAAATACTTTAAGCTTATGTGCAGGTAGACTAAATAGCAGTGTACCGTTAAAATAGGAAAATATTGCATTTGATTTTAACATGCAATATCTAAGCGCTAGTATGGCTGCCAATTAATTTTATTTTAGGAGATGCAGATTTCCAGGATAGGACCCACCATTGCACAAGAAACAACTGTGCTGGTGCTCACATAAGACAACATTTTATTAACAGCAAGTACCACTACAGCTGCCGACATTCAGGACTTAACTGCAGCAATTCAAACTAAGAGTTTTGGACAAGATTCTATAGATGAATTTTGACACAGGGTAACAAGTAGTAAGTGAGTATCAGTTCAAATAATGAACATGAGAAGCAGCTACTCAGAAATGACACATGTGCAAGGAACCATAGGTGCAACCCAGCTTCCTCCTCCTACTTTTAGCACAAAACAGAGAAAACGCTGCAGATATTTACAACGTAGAGGTGGAGGGTGAGGAGGGAACAGGCACAAAAACCAAAAACTAATCCAGCAAGGTAAAAGTCATTAACAACTTGTGTACTCAGAGCATGGTCTCTTACCATCTTTCCAAAGCTCTGCAACAAACTTGTCTGAAGACTGGTGCAAGAGTGTAGCCACATTGTCATTCAGGGGGTCCATGTTCTTCATCAGCCACTCATCTGCCTTGTAGTCTACCTGTAGAGTAGCCAAGTTGCACATGATCAGATAGACCACTAGCTTTAGTTTTAAATTTACCAGCATCAAAAAAAAAAAGCTTTCAAGATCCCATACTGATGGTTTCCTCCTATTCTCTTCTTGATGTTTGCTTACTATGAGTTTGTTGTGCCTGCTTAGAAGAGTTCAAAGTACCACCTTTTCATTCTTTTGAAACAGTAAATGGGAGTTTTCTTAAAAATTTATGAATTTACTTACTAATAGCTGCTATACATTTTCAGCCTAGTGTTATTGCCAAAATAAAGCTTCACTGTTCACTGTGAAGGTGTAAAAACAACTCCAGTATAGATCCTAATTACTTATCTAAATTACCAAAGAATAAATGAAGGATGTGCTGCAACATGATTGTTTTTAATTTCACTATAGCAGTTATACTTACACACTGTTCTATAAAGAAAACAAAGCATTATTTCTTATGTTGAAAGAACCAATTCCATGGTTCTATATCAATTAAACTACAGCTCAGGAGTTGAAAACTCAATGCTCCCAGCACAGTTTCATCCCAACCCAAAAGAGAGCCCTAAAATACCCTAAGTCCAGCAAGACCTCCGTGTAGACCTAGCATGCTTTTGCTTCAAACAAATGGCAAGGGTTTGTTTTTGTTTTAAACAAGGGCTTCAGAAGGAAAGACACATTTAAATGCTTCCAGCATCCAAAATCAAATCAAACCATCATCTTAGCACTTCTTGCACTAAAAGCTGTTTTACAATTGATTCTAGTTTTGAAGGAAATACAGATTCCAACAGAAGACTGAAAGTGCTTTCTGTCAGAGGAAGATATGCAATGCAGCGCCAGCATCCTAGAAATGCCCACTCGGCTTGGCAGAAGTAACACATTCTTCAGAACAATTACCTTCCAGTGGTCAGTACCAAGCTGTTTTACTTCACTTTGATTACCTAAAGGTAACCTTTTGTTTCACAACTAATCTACTATTAACTGCAGTAACAGCAATCATTATTTCTAAGTTTCTGTTTTAAATATTCATACACTAAAATGTGTAATTTATTTCCATTTTTTGCTACAACTATCTAGTTTGCACCACTGACATCAAAGAATAGATAGCAGCAAGCCATTAGTACTTTAAATGAAAATTAAAGGATGGCTCAGTCATTTGCACAGTTTCTTCTAAATATCAGACAAAAACTGGTACTAGGATTAAGTTTTAGCTATTTATGAAACTCATTACATAGCATGGCCCTATGGACTAGACCTGGTGATGATGAAGGTTTCACTAAATGCTGACAAGAACGGCACAGTTATTTCCTTGACCAGCTCACATCACAGCTGAGCTCTGTCCCTCAACAGGAGAATAAAGATTGATCTACTAGTAAAAACAAAAAAGGTATCAGCTTACCTATGAAACGGGATATACAGAAAATCTTATGTGAACTGAAAAGATAAAAGTGAAGAGGGTACTGACACAGCCCTACTTCAAGCACTACTATCAACTTGGAAACAGATATTCAGAAGAGATTCCTTTCAATACAAGTCCTGAAAAAACTCACCTGTAAGGCCTGACAATAAAGTTAAACTGAAATATTTGCTTAATTTAATATTAGTTTCTATTTTTCAGTTCTATTTGGTAACAAGAGTTCCATCAGAACTCTCCTGAATATGTTCAAGAAAATGAAACAAAGTCACCCTCCTGCACAAGTATCTCTAAATTTGGTAGGTATATCACCTAGTACTTTCCCAAAACCAACATTTCTAACCAAGTATTTAACATTTAAGCCTTACCTTCCCTGCGTAGTGAATAATGCAGAAGTCTGCTTTGTCCTTTAGCTGTCTTGGCTTTTGGAACTTGGAGTGGGTTCCTTGCTCTTGGACCAATTTTTCCACAAACGTCTTGTCAGTAGCTTTAGGGAACCAGCATTCTTCATCCAGTAATGCTAACACACCAGGAGGATTCGCCTGAAATCCAGTTGGATTTAATCTGTGTTAATATTTAATTTGTTTTTTTAGCTTTAATATTTAAAACACGTCATTGGATGCCTCAGTAAGAAGCTGTCTAAACTGAATCAAATTTGATTTAAACTAAAACAAGCTGTAGGGAGTTCAGTTCAATGAACGACATTATGACTGGTTCAAGCAACTTCATTCCAACGTATCTGGAGCCAGACACGAGTGACCTGATCTAGTGCTGACGAGAGCCTTGCTTTGAGCAGAGATTGGAATAGATGACCTCCAGAGTTACCTTCCAAACATTTCTGCAACATGTACGTACACAGCAGCTCACCCACGTCTCCATAGTAGTTAATGTCACGCTTTACTGGGGGCTAAACCAAAGACAATTATCCCTCCCAGCCACTCGATACTGCTGTGGCAGCCACCGAGCCTCCCCTTGCCAAGCCCTGTGTTGACATCCAGTAGCAGCATCCAAAGAGCTTCAGCAGGCTTAACTTGAGCAGCCAGCACAGTTTTACATATTCCTGCTCTTCCCATACAACTTAAGCACTCCATTTGAAGGTTTGTTTATTCTTAAAATGAAGTAGGGAACAAGCAACGTCTGTATTTTGCAGCTGCAGAATTGTTTGACAGGATCATTTTCTTTAGGGAAAACAGACTGATGTACACAGGAAGCAATGGAAAAAAAGAGAGTTTGCAGTAATTTAGACTTCAGAAGTTTCTAGTGAATGTGAAGTTTACACATTTGAAGAGAGATGTTTCTATGTGCCTACTACATGGCATCACATTTACAGAACAGTTATGAAGGTACTGATGTTGGCTTTAAAAAACATTAAAATAATTTGATGTATTTTAGGATATTCATCTCAACAGCTGCAAACTGAAAGCATCGGCACTTACCCGCACAGGCTTTTTTGCAAAGATTTTACCTTCCAAGGAGGCAGAACTTTCTGAAGTTCCACACACAAAGTGCAAACCTTTGATAACTGAAACAAGATTTCCCTTTTCCTTCTCTAAAGAAAAACACCAGTGTGGCTCATGGGCTTTTCTGCTCTTCAGGATGCACAGCATCGTTGGCATTTTACACGTATTCCAGAATACACACACAGAAATAGAGTAGGAACTGCAATGCCCTGGGTTTAATTTAAAAGGTCATAAAATTATTTTGACAGCATAGTTCTGAGGTCTGAAGAACGATAACTTCCAGGAATGATGATCTTTGTTCTCCCCCTTCCCACCCTCAACTGCTCCTCCTGCCCTTTGAAGCTCTCTTCAGCTGAGCAACCAGAAGAATATGTTAAAGAGCACAATGATTAAAGCCACCTTTAAGATACTGCTTTCCTATTTGCAAGGCAGGTTTATGGGGAAATGAAGTTTCAGAAATTTTGCTATTGATCTCAAATGAAAAAACAAGTTTACTGTAAGTCCTGAAAAGCTTGCTAACTGAGCCACCACTCTAAAGCTCCTAGAATGGATTGGAATTATTCAAACATGACAGGACTAAAAACTTCATTAGTACTTGGGGGGAAAAAAGTGTAAAAATAGTAGCTTAATATCTTTAGCTCAGTGTTCTACCCTAACATCAGGGCAAAATCCTGTAAGGATAAATCCTTTGACGTGGTATTTTAGACTATGGATTTTAGTCTTCAAGTTAATTCAGTTTGTGACAGCTCTGCAAGAAATCTTTGTACAGTCCTACAATTTGCAGGCAGTAAAAGACAAACCCATAACTTCTCAGAGCATTATTACCGCACAAACTTACGGGTCTTTCGATTAAGTCAATGCAAGGCTGCAGATCCAGTCCAAAGTCAATGAAATTCCACTCTATACCCTCCCGTTGGTACTCCTCTTGCTCCAGGATAAACATTGTGTGGTTGAATAACTGTTGAAGCTTCTCATTGGTGTAGTTGATGCAGAGTTGCTCGAAGGAGTTCAGCTACAGTAAGGAAGAATAATTCAGTGACAGGAGTTATCACATATCTGGAAGTCAAAAATTTGACCTTACAAGGCAATTTCCCAGAACTCTGCAACACTCAAATATATTGTAAAGAAAATTGGAAAATGCATTATGCAAATCTCTTATGTTCTGTTACAGAAAATTAAATAACATACAGTAGGAAAAAACATCTCATATAAAAGAATAATTTAGATTAAAATATGACTTCTGGCACTGTAATTTAGGGTTGTCAAAGCATTTACATGCTACAAAACAAAACCCTCCTGCAGCCTTGGAACATGCATTATGTGGCTCTTGCACTTAGTCCTGAATGCATATGAATAGAGAAAAAAAATAAATCTGATTAGCCATGTTCTGAAGTACCTCGAAGATTTCAAATCCAGCGATATCCAGAATTCCAATAAAAGATGCTCCCTGTCGTTTGGTCCTGTCCAAAGCTTTATTAATGCGGTGAACAAGCCAGCGGAAGAGGCGTTCATAGGTGGCCTTTGCCAAGGCTTCCACTGCAAAGTCTGCCTGAAAATCCAAACAGGAAAATTTATTTACCCTGGAGAAGTCATCAAAAGAACACAGGCATGGATGTTATCACAAATAACTAAGTAATAGAATAACTTTAATGGCATTAATGCCAGTGAGGAATGAAAACAAGCAGTAGAAACAGTATGTGGTTTGATTAGTGTTATGAAAAATCTGTTTTTAAACTATTCCATAAAAAACCCAAAAAGCTCTTTGTGTGTTTGATAGATACAACAATGACATTAAAGAATGAAACCAGCAGGAGGTCAAGGAAAGGGAAAGGTTTCTGCTATTCTACCACTGATTTTTACCATATAAGAACATTTAATAAAGACAGTTTAAGTTTAAACAAAGTTGGTGGTACTACACAATTCCACTTTATTACCAGCTAATCAAGATGAGGTACAGTTGCACTTCATCTTCAAAGCACCAAAACTTACTTGTTCTTTGGTCTGGGCTTTCTGAACGTAGTCTCTGCCAACCTTGATGCGTGGTGTCAGTATGGCCCGGGTGAACTCCATCACGTTCATTCCCAGCAGATGGCAGAGTTTCTGTGCGACTGGAGAGCAAAGCCATAAATGGAACCGCTTCAGTTCTCCACCCTCCACAGCAGGTAGCAACAGCGGTGAAACCAGCTACTGACAAAGGCCATCATGGGCCAGCTTAAACATTGAACTGCCGTTTGAAATAGCAGGTAAGGAGATGACTTCTGTCCGGCGGACAGACCTACCCAACCATGCAGCCTGCAACTGCAGGGCTTCCATCTTAAAGGGTGATGGAAGTCTCTACAGAAGTACACAGAGAATTTGCCTAGGGGAGGGCGGAAACACTGGATTTCATGACATTGCAGAGAGGTCAGGTAACAGCCTGTAGCCTACCTACAAACATTCCTTTTGTTACTTTAATAGGGAACATTCATTTTCTCATCTCCAGAACAAAAAAGCACAATACGAGGACATCCCGCATCAACTCCATGACACTAAAGGTTGCTTAAAACCTGTTGTAATTTAGGCAGGTATGCCAGTGTAATGCTTCTATTACAGACTATATCAAAATATGTTGCTTAACCTATTTAAAACATGGGTTTGTAATATTTTACACAGAACACCACCACAAGCAGCAGCACACTTTTAGACAGCGTGAACTGTCCTGGTGTCATGTTTGTTATTTCAAATAACACGTTACCCACTGTTACCCACACCATCATTACATATTCTTGCTGCATGAATACCTTTTTCTAAATAAATTTCCCAGTAGGTGTTTATGATTCCATACTTCTAAAAATGAAAGTGACACTAAAGGTATTTTTAAGTCTGGGTAA